TTTTAATTTCGACTCCTGTTTTTAATTTCGACTTTTATTTTAATTTCGACTCCCATTTTAATTTTGAAATATCAAAATTTTGAAATGGTATTTTGGGGTCAATTTCGTGATATTTATATTTCGGGTTTCGGGTCCCAAAATAATTTTGCGTGCAAGTATAATTTGGACTACGTTGTTTTGCAATATATCTAACATGATCTTCTAGATCTCTTTTTCACTGTAATATTTTAAGTTAGTTTACATATGATACTCCTAATTTGTCATATTTTTTGGTACCTTGGTTATATACTACTTTAATCACTTCAACTAAAGCAAATTCGATATTTTTGTGGTCTGCTATTCACTGGTCGAAAATTGATAAAACATACACATATCGGGTATCCGATATGTGTATGTTTTATCAATTTTCGACCAGTGATTTTGAATATTGTACTTTTTATTATATATTACTTAATCAGATCTTTTGTTTAAATAAAAAATATCTCTTTTACCCATGTCTAAAAAATATACCTGTTATTATATACACAATTCTGGAGAAGTATGTGGACGTGGATATCGACGTCCTGAAGGATGCTATGAACATTGGAGATCTAAAAAACGTGTCCCTGTAAATAATATAGTAGTTGTAAAAAATTCACTGCTGTTGCTTCCGGAATATGTAAAGATCATACTGGTGACTTTTATGTTAAGAAGTTTTATGCTCGCCAGCTAGGCAAGAATATAATATAGATTTTAGACGTTTAAAAAACAGTTTAAGCCCAAATAACTATACAAATAATTAATATAAATTTTAAGGGTTTAAGTGTTTTTTTTAATCAAGGAAGTAAATTATATTTCTTAAGTTTTAAAACACTCTACTCTGTCAAGTAAGTAAATTATATTTTTTAAGTTTTAAATCATTTCACTTTGTCAAGGAAGCAAATTATAGTTCTTAAGTTTTAAATCACCTCGCTTTATCAAGAAAACAAATTACAACTCTTGGACTTCTAGAGGCCAGTTTAAAAATGAAAAAAACACATTTTCTAGAGTACATTCCTAGATACCGATTTCTGATATATATCAAAAATTGTTATCGATTTTAGCAATTTTAGCTCAAAAAACTCATGTACTAAAAGATGTGAAAAAATGAACAAAACATAACACTCACCAAAAAAAGTCTACCTGTGCTCCTTGCTGCTAATTGTGATATAGGTAATAATATCATAATTTTCAATTCATAATTACAGATGTCATCTTTATATATTACATCAAATATATTTATATATATTTAGTTTTTATTAATTACAAATATATTTACATGTATTTGTAAATGAAAATTTTCTGATATAGTTCTTAATTACAAGTTTTATATATTTTATTCTTATAGCTTTAATATTTGTGAAGATATTTATATTTAAAGTCAAACATCTATGAAAATTTCTGTTATAAATTTTTTATAATTCTAACTAGAATTATGAAAAATTCTGAAAAATTTATAACAGAAGTTTTTTACAAATATTCAAATTTAAATACAAATACTTTACAAATATTGATACTATTAAGATAAAACATATATTATTTTGTAATCAAGAATAAGGCCTTTCTTTTTATCTTAAAAATATCTTAATAAAAAAATCACTTTATATTTCATAAATCATAAACAAAGTCAAAAATATAAAAATCTTCAGAAAATTTTACTTTTTTACCTTTTTTTTTTATAAATTGTAAAGTAATTTTCTATTAAGATATTTAAAGATAAAAAGAAAAACCTTGTTCTTGATTACAAAATGATATGTTTTATTTTAGTAGCATCAATTTTTGTAAAATTATTTATATTTAAATTTAAATATTTGTAAAAAATTTTCAACATAAATTTTTCATAATTCTGAAAAATTTAATATAAATGTTTGACTTTAAATATAAATAACTATGCAAATATCAATGTTATTGGAATAAATTATATATTATTTTATAGTCAAAAACAAGAACTTTTCTTTTATCTTAAAAATATTTTAGTAGAAAATTACTTTATACTTCATAAACAAAATTAAAAAATATAAAAAAAATATGAAAATCTTCTGTTAATTAAATTTATTGATAAATTTTAATCAATCAAAATTTGTTATTAATTATTAAAAAAAATGCACTGATCAAAAATTTAAAAATCCTACACATATCAGATACCAGATAAGTATAGTATTCATTCCTAATATCAGATATATATTGGATATCCAATATTGGAAACAAATATTACACTTATTTGGTATCCGATGTGTATAGGATTTTTAAATTTTTAATCAGTGGTAGAAGTAAACCTTATAATAAAGAGCTTTTTAATTTCTATATTATATAAATTTTACTTATAAATTATAATAAATTTGTATAACTTTAAAATACAGTAGCTCACAAAAGTATTGTAACAAAAAAAAAGTATCTTTGCTATAGTATTTTTTATTAATCTTAATAAAAAACTTAAAATTTTTTATTTTTATTTTTATAATATTAGTATAGTAATTATCATGATTATACTTGTATGCAAAATAGACTATCATAGTAAATCAAAATATTTTGAGACCCAAAAGTCAAAATAGTTTTTCATAGAAGACAAAATTATTTTATATAGAAGATGAAATTTTTAAAACTTGATTTCTATTCTTTGATTAAAAATACACTTAACTAGATACTTTTTTTACTTCCATATATAGATTAGATTTTACATAAAGTTTGAGGGATGAAATATATCAAATCAATTTTGAAAACATGTATAGTATAGGTTATACAAATAGACGGAGATTTGTAAAATAGACTAAGCCAATTTGCATCAAAAATATTACTAATTTTAAATCATTTGTTACATCTAAAGACACACGGCAATTTAATTATATATTGCTTGTTAGAAAGTACCAGTTAGTTTTATAGCTTGATCACATAATGACTGACAGGATTGTTTATATTTCTAATCTTCTTTCCGTGGATACCTATTAAACAATTTCTTTATAAGTTGAAATGAAATAGTTAACAAATTTCAAACCAGTAATGTAAACATGATATTTTTTGATAATTTATTTATTTAATTATTTTTTTGACATGCTCTAAATGTTATATGTACTTGGTTTTAAACAACCTGCATATAATATAAATGCTGCAAACGTGTGTTATAATGGGGGAAAAAAAGCCTGATCAATTTACCAGAAGTATCTTAAAAAAAAATAAAAAAAAAATAAAAAATAAACATTTTGATATCATTTGTTATTATCATTTGTTATAATTTTACTCTTGTTGAATTAAATAATATATCTCGAAAAATAATACAATAAATAATAAAAATTTTACAAGTTAAAAAATAAGTTTAAAGGCATAAAAAATATTATAACAAATGAAATGCGGATATTTGATGTTGATAAAATTATATAAATTCAGTAATTTATCATACTGATACTATAATAATAGTAATAATAATTATTCAATTCCCAAATTGAGTCATTACAATTCTTCCCATTCGATTTGCTCCTTTCCTCATTCTTTTGACAAAATAATAAAATTTTACTTCCGTATAATTTGTAAATTCCTTGATCTTTTCCAAAGCATATGGAAACCATAATTTCACTATTCCCCAAAAATTTTTCGCACTTTCTGTAACTTGATTACCTACATACGTAGATATTGCCAACATTTCCGTTCCAATATAAACCGCTGACTCATAAAGAGCATTCTTTACTGTCTCATATAAACTATTGATTTTTATATTAATATCTGTTGCCGCCTCATTAAACGTATTAAAAGTGTCATAAATCCAGCCATCACCCGTCTTTGTAATAATCGATGTATCTAATTTATCACCTTCTTTTGTCATTGGTGACCATGGCACTTCTTTGACAACTTGTCCATTCTTTTTAATTTCAACTTTAACTTCACCTTGAGCTCCCGTGGTATCAATATCAAAAAAATATCTACCATTACCCAAATCTTCCACCAAAGAACGTCCCAACACTTGAGGCGGATTATGTGTAACAACCACGTCAAAATTTTCTTTTCGAAAATTTCCTAACTGATCTTTATTCAATATATCGAAAACGAATCTACTAGATGATTCCTGATTTACGTTAATAAGTGGTTCTGTTTCTCCAAAATCTAAATGAATAGTTTTTGGTCCATTCTGATCTTGAGTTTTTAATGAAGCTCGTGATACCGCTTGAAAAGATTTGGCTAAATCGGATGGAAGAATTGACCATTCGGCGTACTGCCAAACGCTGGATATTGAGAAATATACAATATAAAGAATTGCACCCACTATTACAATATCTTTAAGTATTGAAGCAACCTTGTCACAAAGTTGTTGTCGCCTTTTGGCTCGTTCGTTACGTAACCGTTCTTTTTTAAATTCAATGGCACGTGTACGTAAGAGTTGTAAATCTTCATAAATATATTCTGCCTCAAATGCAACAAAGTCTTCAACTGTTAATATTTTTTTGGTATAAACAGTTTCAACCCAACGATCTCTAACATCCTCAATCATTTCATCCGCTTTCCATATAAAAATTTCAATACCATTATCTTCAAAATATTTTAAAATCTTTAGACGTTTTTCTTCACGTTCGTCTTGAGCATATAATTCTTTTCCTTGTAAAGCAATTATTGGAAATAAGGTAACTTTATCATGCAATTTTTTCATCGTAGATAAAAGTTCAGGTAAAATATTATTTGCATCAGGAGGAATGAAGGCAATACATAAATCAACCAAATTGATATCAAAATTGGTATCAGAATCGGTTTTTGAAAATTGATTTTGGAAATAATCAAAAACTCTACTGCAAGGTCCATTCGTTAAATCAACCTCACAAAGTGCCACACCGGAATCAGAATAATATTCAAGGTGAGGTTTACCATCATCGGGAATTTTACTTACGGGACCAATGATTGATCTTTTTTCTGGACCGACGTCATTAGGTGGTATCAATCCATCGGCTTCTTCCCAAAAAATTTGTGATAAGCTTTCGCAAATTTTAGCGAATGTTCTACGCTTGCATTGCTCAGGAACATTTTGACCGATATACATGATACGAACGGTGACGGGAAAATTGAATTGATGACGTTTAAAATCTCTTAATTTTGATAATCTTTGGGAAGGGGGATTATTTTCATACTCATTTCCAAATGCCTGTGAATTTTCGCTACCATCGGATGATAAGTCTGAGTCACTTTCAGATCCTCCTCTTCCTTCATTTTGAATTAATGATAAAGTAGGGAAAACTGAATTAATATGAAAAAAAAAAATTTGTCGATAGGATAAAAAAAAAAAAAAAGAGTCCTGCTAAAGGAACATTATTATTTTTTAAAAAAGATTTTTACCAAGTGATTTATCATTAGATAAATCTTCTATGTCATCATTCTCTTGAGGTGGTTCTTTAATGCTAACTGATTTGGATTTAGGTACATTAGCTAAATCATGTAAGATATTAGATGATGTAGTTGGCGAATCAATAAGTTCAAAAGAATGGTCAAAATCATTAAACTTTGAAGTATTTGTAGGTTCTTCTAAAGAACTTGAAACATTAGAAGTATTATCGTGTTTCTTGATACGACCAGGTGCCGTAATGGAAGTGTTGATTGGTTCAAAGAACTCGAATTCTTCTTCCATTAGGGCACTTTTTTTATTGATAACGACCGAGAAGTTGAGTTATACACCTGCTCTTAAAATTGGAAGCTAAAAAAATGAATAACGTAATAAAACCCGCAGAAGGTTATAAAAAAAAGATTTGTCTCAGCACCGTTGACAAAAAAACTTTTATGCAGTGAGACAATTTTAAATCCTATTTATAGGTAACTATTAGAGGCATTTCCAAGGTCAAATCCACAAACGAAGACAGATTGGTTTTCAAAGTAAATTTGCTTTGCTTTTCATGTTTTGCAATTCAAGTTCATTTCCCTAAAATATTCACTTAAGAAAAAGTAACAAGAAACACGTACAGTAGAAATATATTGGTTGGAACCAAAGATACTTTTTCACACAGTTTCTTTTATTTTGAAGCGTAAAAAACGAAAAAAATTATTCAGCTTTTCACTGTTCCAAGGATAAGAAAATTTGAAGTGTCGGAATTCGTCATCATTTATTTAGCCACCTGATCACATGGTTTTTTATCTTTTTTTTTCAGTAATTATTTAATGTTGTTCTAATGTCCTTCACTCTTACCTAATCTATAAATCCAATCACTTCAAATTATAAATGTAATACATACATACAAATTAATATAGTCATTTAGTACAACAAAAAAAGCAAACAAAACCTATTTAGAAAACATTCTTTTTTTTTTGCCACTTTTATTTCATTAAAACAATCACAGATTAATGACTGATAATGGAATATAAATCATTGATAAATGATTGATGATAGATAATGGAGAATATTTATAATTTGTGTAACTATTATGATAATCTATTTAATCTATAAATTAAACTAACCAAAAAAAATATAAATTACAATATATCTTTATATCTTTACATATTATATAATTTTGATATATTGAATATATTGAATATATTGAATATTTTCAATATTTTGATATTTTGAATATTTTCAGATTAAAAAATAAAAAATAAAGGAATTTTTTTTTTTTGAGAAAAGGATGGTGATTAAAGGATTTTGACAATTTATATATTTTTTTATCATCTTAATTTGTCAAAGATTAACAATAACTATAAATAACTGACTCATATGATACAATATAAAATTTATTAAGAAAAACCCCCAGAAAAATTTACATTGTGTAAAAAAATAAGTAAAAAAGAATCTTACCACTTTTAATTATTTATTGCCTTCTAAACAAAAACCTATTATATAGATTGAAATCATCATATGAAGTTAAATGTAACCGAGACATAATTTTTAAAATTGTTCTTGTTTTCATTTTCGTTTAAACAAGAAAATGTATGCAATTAATAATAATAATAATAAATTAAATAAATAAATAAATAAATCAAAAAGTTACAATAAAATACAAAACTATCATTAAAAGCTCCTTTTTGTGATTAAAGTATAGTTTTTTCAGCTTTATTCAAGCTAAAGGAGTTTTTTGATAATTTACAAAAGGATAATCTATTTCAATGCAATTACCTTATGAGCTAACAACCAAAGAAATATGTAAATAGACAATACGAAGCTGTTTAAAATTTGAAATCTTTATATTTCTTAGAACTTGAACTTCCCCCCGAACCATCCCGAGCGGCAGCTTTAGCATCAGCAATCTTTTGTCTCTTTTTAGCTTGTTTACTCGCATATTCGGCAACCATATCGGAAAAGTCCTCATGTGCACCTTCAGGTTGATTCGCCTATATTAAAAATTTATTAATAACAATTTATTAATAACAATTTATTAATAAGTTATTAGTTGGTAAGTAATAATAAATTAAATTATTATTCAAACCTGTTGAGCTTCTTCAAATTTTGCTCTCAGAGTTTCTTCGTCAAGATTTGCCATTTCGGAAGGATCTAGAGCCACATCAACACCAGTACCAACAGCCTTTCGCTAATCGACATGGGGGAAAGAAAATTTATGAATTAAACAAATTCAAAAAATTTTGATAGGTAAAATTTTTACCAAAGAATACGAATTAAAAACAAAGAATACGAATAAAAAAAAATAGAAATACCTTTACGCCTTTAGCTGTTCCTGTCCCTGTCCCTGAAGCAGCTGTTAAATCGTATACATGTTGAGATCCCATAAATCCTGCAACATTGGATTCCTTTTGTGGAAGAACAGTGTATAACTGTTTGGGTTCTTCTTCTTCTGGTCTAATATAAAAAAAATTTTTATAGATAAAATTATTAATAATTTTTTTTTTTTAAAAAAAGGATTAATTAAAGAATTAATCAAAAAATATACTTTGAATATTTTCGCAATTCAATAAAATCTGGCGTTTCTAGACCACTAGGCAATTGTGCGGAAGTCGATGATGATGTGGTAGTAGCAATAGTAGCAGTAGAAGCAGCAGCAACACTAGCAGCATTAACAGCAGCAATAGCAGCAGCAGCAGCAGCAGCAGTAGCGGTGGTGGTGGTGGTAGTAGCTTGATATTTACGCAATTCAATATATTCAGGAGTTTCCAAACCACTAGGAACACTAGAAATTCCACTTGGTGTTGCAAGTCCTTCTTGCAATGCTTTAGATGCAGCACTTTCATCTTCTCCTTCTTGTTCTTCTTCTACCTCTTCCTCCTCTTCTTCAGATTCTAAAAAAAAAAATTGTGATAATAAAGATTATTTATAATAATTTATAATAGTTTAAAAATAATTATCATAATTTTAAAGATTAAAAACTTTGCCAACCTTCTTCCTCTGCCTCTAATTCACCCCATAAAGAGCGTTCAATAGGTTGTACAATCTAATAATAATAATTTTTTATTAATAAATTATTAAAATTATTTCTTAAAATATGTAAAAGCATAAAACGACATATTAATATTACTTCTGATGGAATTTCTTGTTGATATGTTCCAAATACATCTCCATATAATGGACGATTATACTATATAATGAAAAATGATGGTTAAATTTAATACAAAATAATACAAAAAATAATAATAATACAAAAACGTGATCACGAAATTTTTACCTCATCTACTGGAGGTTTTCCCCAACCACCAGGATGAAATCCCCACTGAGCCCTATATAGAATCCCATATTAAATAAGAGTCACCGCAGTTAAACATAAAAAATTCCTAAAGTACATTACCCTTCTGGAATTGGCGCATTTAATCCAGGAATTTTCAGATTAGGATAGCTAGGTGGTGGACCATATCTTTGCATTGCGATAAGCCATGGAGGTGGGGCAAGTGGTGGCATGTTCAAGGCTGCTTTAAGCTCTTCTGAAAGTTGTCCCGGTTTTTTTTCTTTAAGTTTAGTCTCAAATTCTTTTCCTTCATAATACCTTTAACAAATAAAATTAAATCCTTTAATTCTCATTAAAAAAAAAAAGAAAAAAAAAACTAATTCGGAAGTAAGTTTAAAGGGATGAACTTACAATTCTCCATGTATTGTTAACTTAGGCTTGGTCTGGAATCTGAAAAATGCATCGTGTAATTTTTGATAATCAATGTCCAACTTGCCCATTTTTGGTTGTACACGCTCACGAGTCTTTTGTTTCAATTTAGCGGCATCCTCTTTTTCTTTGACTGCCTCTCTCATTTCCATAATCCCAGTGTCTTTGATGAAGTCTTATTATTATTATTATTAAAAAAAAAGAAGAAAAAGATAATTAGAATGAATTGGAAATAAAATTTAAAATGTGATAAAATGATTTATTCAAAAAGATGAAATTACCGGGTAAATCAAAAGCAGGTTTTTCAATTCCTCTTTTTCCTTGAAGATATTTTCTTTTCTGGGACCAATGTTGAGGAACTGGCACCGTATTTCTATATGCTTTGAGACTCACTAGAAGCTTTGGGTCAGCGGCTGTTACATCAACCCACTTAATTTTTTAAATTTTCAAATTAAATTTATTGATGTTAATAATATAAAATTTTAAGTTAATAATTTTTTTTTTTTTTATATTTACATGAAATATAAAACTTACCTCGACGACTTCTGGTCTCTTTACTAATTGTTTTAATTGAGCTACACTCAATCTATTCATTTTTTTTAATTTCTTTTTAGATATTTTCTCTAGTTTGTCATCATCAGAATCCACGTTCGATTCTGTATCTGAATCTTGCATTTTATCATTTTGAGATTTTGTAGGTTCAACGTTTTCCTCTTCCTTCGTCTCTGTTTGCTCCTATTCATCATTATTCCAAGGAATTTAGTTATTTATATTCCATTACATATGATATATTATTTATATTATTTATATATAAATTATTCAAGCAGATAATAAAGAATTTGTAAAATATATATATATATATATATATATATTTTTCGAAAGGTATTTTTTTTTTTGACCAGAAATTAAATCTCGATGGATTGAGATAACGATACCTCTGTTTCGTCTTTGGAGATCTGAAAATGGGCAAAAACCTTTGAGAATTCTTCAAAGTAAGGATCGTTAGATACATCCAGAGGTTGATATACATACTCAATTTCTACTTTTTCTTCATCCTCTGCTTCTACATCCTTTATTATTGAAGAACGTTTCAATCCGATAGTCAATTTTCCGATCGAAAGGATAATTTAAAAAAAATTTATTATTTGAAATTGTTTAAATTACGAAATATATATATATATTCAATAAGAGTATATGTTACCTTTCCATTTTCTTTCGTTATTTCATTTCGTGATCCAGTATTCTGTTGCCCATGATTCTTCTTCTTCTTTCGACGTTTTATTTTAGATTGGTTTTTCTTACTTTTTTGGACATTTTCTTCGGGATTATCAATATCATTAGAACTATCCTGAAGTTTTGTTGTTGTGTCTTTTACGTTTTCTTCGGTTACACTTTTTGATTCCGCTACTGTAACCATTGTTTCAAGTAGTTTGAAGTATACAATTTTAAAAATCATAAACATACTTATGCTCCCGGTCACCTGATCTAAGCATTATTGTAAGACATGTTTTGGTACAAAATTAAATATTAAAATTAAGAATTTAAGGATAACAATTAACCTTTTCTTATTAATTATTAAAATAAAAAATAAATAAATAAATTATACATTTTTTATTATTATTATTGATGTCTACATTTCTGAATAAATTCAAATTAAAAAAAAAAAACTTTTGTGAATATTGATTTTCCAATACAAGATTGTTTATAATAATGGAATATACACATAATTAATTATTGTTTATTATCTGTCATTTCATTCTTCATCTAAGGTTACTTCGAAAATCAATCATTCTTCATTTTCTTTGTCATTCTAAAGTTACTTCAACAATTATTTATTCATCATCATCATCATCTGTATTTACTTCAACAATAAGACTAGCAGAAGGCCACAGACCACCTTCTTCTTTGATAGTTTTATGTTTACTTGAATGATGTACAGTTCGTGGGTAAGGTGAAACAAGTAAAAATTCAAATTTATGATTATAATCAATTGGTGGACGAGACATTAATGTCAAAGTATTTTCTTCTGTTCGCAAATGATATGTATCTACGAAAGTATATATCATCTAAAAATAGAATAAAATTATAATTAATTAATTGTAATTAATAAATAAATATTTTTAATATTAAAAATTCTTATTAGAAATTATTGAAATTACTTCAACAGTATCATTCGCCCTAAATCTTCTGACAACCCTTTCACCATTTGAAAGTTTAAAGCTTAAATTTGCAACATTTGTTTCGTTACGAGATGGTTCATCTGGTAATTTAGTTAAAGCCCATCTTCTCCAATTTTCTCTATTTTCCGAATACAGGCGACGCTCTTCTGCTTTCTTCTTCGCCTTTTCTTGTTCTAACCTTTGCTTTTCGGCAATTTCACGTACTTTACGTTCTTTTTCTTGATCAGCTTGCAAAGAGAGAAGGTATGCACTATCCTGTTGTTCGCGAATTTGACGTGTAGCATCACGTTCCGCACGTTCAAAACGGAATCTTTGCAAAACTGGACCATATCGGCTGATTTGCAGATTAAGTCTTGCTATAATATAATCAGGACTTGACAAGCCTTAATGAAATTTTTTATGATAATTATTATTATTATTATTATTATTATTATTATTATTATTATTATTATTATTATTATTAAGCAGTTACAATTTATATAAGAATATTTTATAGATTTATACCTTCGATACGATCAACCAAAGTCATTTTTGGGCTTAATCCCATGTTACCAGGAGGATTCTGAAGAGCTACTATCGCTACAAATGGAAAAGTGGTCACCCGCCATTTATCACTTACTAAATATATGAATAAATATGAGTAAACATGATCTTTGTTTATATATTAAAAAAAAAAAATCAATAAAAACTTAATGATTAACATTATTAATATAATTTTAATTCAACCTTGAAAAGCTTCCGGATCTTTGACATCTCCTACCCATACCAAAACTTCATGCTCTTGAAGGAACATTAATAAATTAACGGATGTTAAAGTTTCTCTATTTAAAAATAATAACAATTATTATTATTATCATCATCATCAACATTTAAAATTAATAAAATTTTATCTATTTTATTATATACAAACAAACCGGTTGAATTTGGCATTATCGTCGTGTTCACCTGACTCCAATATAACCATGAAGAAGCGGAAATCTCTTTTTGCCGTATCCAACGCCTACAAATTTAAATATAAATAATTGGATCCAATAAAGTCATAAATGAAATTATAAAGTTTTTTTTTGGGGGGCAGACCTGAGAGTAGCTTCCATGGAAGAAGTCCGGATGTACTGTACCATATTTTTCTTCGAAATTTTGAATGAATTGCGTAGTTAATCGTAAATTTCTTGCTCGATTTGCTTGGGTATCTGCGATCACAGGTCGTGGAATTATAAAAAAAAGAACGGCGTTCAAAACGTTCATGACCAAATTAACGCATGCCAAAAATATAGTCTTTAGAACCATTGTTTGTTTGAAATATAACCGTTAAATCGTAAAAATTAGGGGGGGGGAGGTTTAAAAGAATTAGAAAAAGAATTGCAAGTTTAAATTTTTTAATTGTAAAAATTTAGTAATTCGCATCAAAATTTAACGTCAATTGACGTTGTTCGAGTGTAAAAGTGTAAGTGATAGTGTATATATTAAAAGTAAACAATACAGAATCACGTAATTTAAGGGTTTAATCACTTCGACATAACGCTCTACACACTACTAAATAAGCTTTTGTTTTTTTTTTAACCAACAAACCCTATAAATATTATAATATCTGTTTCTAAAAGGTGTGATTTGTAATTTAAATACAGTTAGATCTATTATATTAATATTAATCACCACCTTGGAAAAAATTGTTGGTGGTGATTATAAGATTATAAGTTAATGTGATAATACAAAAAAAAAAATGACCTAAAGGTATATTACACAAATAATCACAAATTTGATCCAATAATGAAAGCATATAGATGATCGTAGAACTTTTGACTTTTTTAATATAAATTTATTATGTTGTACACGTTTGATCACACTAACATTTTACCTAAAAATTGGATTGTGCCTTTGTGCAGTAAGCTTTTCTTTTGATATTATTGAGATATTACAATAGGTTTTCCTTTTTCTTTTTCTTTTTTTTCTTTTTTTTTTTTTTTGTTGGCACTCTTGGTTTAAATTAAAATTCGGCTCTTTTATTTAAAACCAAAGCAACAAAGGTATAAGGCCACGCGTAATTATTTAATTTTCTTAAGTTCTTTAAAACTTACTCGAGTTTTTTTTTATTACCATTAGATGGTTATTCCTGACAACTCCAAACTTTCACCAGTTGCGTCGCTTATTAATAAATTTGAACAAAACCCTGAAGGAACGACTAGACGACGTTCTCTCAGTCCAGTTGGTAAATTAGTTCATAACTATGGAGCAAATAACAATGGTCAGGAGGAAAAGCCTGAAGTGGGTTCAACCGTTTCAACAATAACTACTATCGTTGCTATAGAAAAAAATACTAATCCTAGTGAAGTAAAAGAGGAAGTTAATAATGAAATTGGTAATATTGAGATCAAGGTGGAGGAAAAATCAGCTCAAGATACCGAAGTTAAAGAAGTTATCGAAGTTACTGAAGAAGTTATTGAAGTTCCGTTAGTGATTGAAGAAGAACACAAAGAGGAAATCGTCGAGAAAAAATCAGAAAGTCATTCAGATACCGCAACTGAAGCAAAAACCACTAACGTAGCTTCGTCCTCCTCTGCTAATTCTACTGCTCATAAAAAAAAGAAAATTGTATCGAGCTCTTTACCCACTTCTAGTGTGTCTAAAAAAACTTCCACCACTACTAACAAATCTTCCGCCAATGTTCCAAAATCGTCGACCACACATAAGAAATCTACCACTAATATTGATAAAAGCAAATTATCCACCAGCACGGGTTCATCAACCCAGCGTTCCAAATCTCCATCTTCAAGGTCTACATCAACTACAACAAAAACGAAGTCTACTTCCGTCTCCACCACATCGGTCCCCAAAGCTACAGTAAAATCCTCCACTGTAAAATCTTCTGGTTTGAAAACACCCGTTAAAACTACTACTACTACTATTAAGCCTACCGTTACGTCCTCAGTTTCTGAAAAAAAACACATAACTAAAGTTCCTCCTAGGACGACGAATGTTGGTACAAAATCAGTTCCCCCCAAAGATAAATATGTCGTTAAAAAAGATGCAAAAGATACTAAACCTCAAGAAAAAAAGGTTCGAGAGAAAAAAGATTCTGATAAGAAAGATTTGAAAACCGCGGGAAATAAGAAAGAATCAGTTAAAGCTCATGACATAGAATCTAATACAATGGAAGTTAATCTAGTTGATGTTAAAGTTGATAAAGTTGAAAACACTGAAACTGAACATCATGAAGAGGTACATGAAACTAAAGAGCAAGAAATTCATGTAAAGGAAGAATCAAATGAATCATACGAATCAAATGAATCACACGAATTACATGAGAATGCTAGTGAAATTTCGGTCACAGAATCTCAAGGAGAAGGTTCAGTTATTGAGACACATTCCGAATCGGATCACCAATCCAATGCCGAGGTCAATACTGTTGAAAGTCATATTGAAGAGTCAGATGAAATTCAAGTGGAAAAAACTGATGAAAGTCATATTGAAGAGTCGGAAGAAATTCAAATGGAAAAAACTGATGACAAGACTGAACACGTCGAAGTGACTGATATTCATAATGATAAAGATAAAGAAGTTCAGGAAACTTTTGAGTCGACCACAGAAATCACCACACACACTAAGCACATAAGTTCTGATTCTGTTGAAGTAACAACCATTGAAACAGTCGAAATTGAAAAGGAATTTTAAAATGTTTTTAAATATTTTAAATGTATAGTCGGGAAAAAAAAAAACTCTGCTTTTTAAGTTTAGTTTTTCTTTCTGTTGGATTGTATCATGCCCTATATGGCAGATTGGAGTCTCATAACAGGAAAATTGCTAAAAATGCTTGCTTGTAAAAATATTTGTAACAAAGGAAAAATAAAAAAAAAACAGAATACATATTTAAAATGCAAATTTGATTATAAAATCCGGGGAATATTTCGTGTGTATATTTAGTATATTTTATTATTATTATTCATCAAACAATAGCGTTTCGTTTTCTAACTATTTATTACTATGTATTTTGATATTAGATATCTAAAAAAAAACACGCTGTTTATTAAAATAGTGAATGCATTGCGTCATGTATTATCTTTACTAAATAAACAACATTTATTCAATTGGTTTATCTATGTTGGTTAATGGAAAATTTTACACATAATATTAAACGGCAATCAGCCCAATATATATTTTTTGAAATGATTATTTCATTATTGTTACAAGATAAAAAAACAATGTCAAGTAAAAAGGATTGATCCAACGTCGATATTAAGATTTATTAGTAATCTTGAAATATAGTGCGGAACCTCTAAGATAGGAACTTGGTTATAATAAAAATTGTTCAACTTTTTACATTAAACTTTATTTCTAAATATAGAAATAAAATTAATTGATCAATTTTTACTGAGGTTAAAGTCATGTGTATTTAATTATACTTATCAAATTTGAGAATATACTAAAAATAGTAAACTATTATAATTTTACTTAAAAAACTGTTCTTCAAATTTTAGATTTAATTTTTTTAACTATTTAAAAATATGAACAAAAATTCTATATATATATTAGTGCTCCTAACGAGTCGGATCTACCCGGGTTGATCCGTGTAACTCGATTCGGGGTACGAATCGAATCGGGTTAGGGTAGCATAGGGCTAGTTTGTTTTATTGGATGATAATCAATAGTAACGTGACTGGTCAAATAATATTTAAACGAATAGAAATCTTAGATTCAGATCAGGTGATTAAAGAAAATTATCTTTAGTCGAACTTTAAATTATTTAAATTTTTTTTTATATTGGCAATAAAAATATCAAAAATATCTGAGTTTTTATAAAAGATGTTTAAGATATTACATAGAATTTAAATATGTATATACGTGTTATTACAGATTCTATAAATTTAATAAGGTATATAACATTATTAAAATGAATATTTTTTTATATAAACTCTGGAACATGAGATCTTGAGATCTTGAATATTCAAATACTTGAAATAATTAAATACTTAAATACTTGTAATTATTATTTGAAATTTATAAAATAGTTCAAAAGTAGTCATAAAATTTAATAAAAGTTTATATTAAAATAATAGTTTTAATAAAAAAATTTAAAAATAATTAAACATTACTTACATTACTCGTCTATATAGTCTATTACTATAAAAATGTCTTCTATATAAACTTTCCCAAAAATTGGATCTTATTGGATCTAAATAGAGGAAACGAAGAAATAGTTTCAAAGAATACAATAATAAAGTTTCGTAAGTAGTCATTCTGGTGACTTGTCATATGAGCGACCAAAATTCAATTGAACTTTATTGTAAAATAAGTATAAATACTTGTGTAACACGTTGATCAAAATCTAGACTTTCCCTATGCTGTAGTAACCTTAGTCCTTTAAATATAAAATTTACGCATGCCAAATCTCAGAAGTAAACAATCACAAAGTAATCAAAACAGAAATAACTATGTGGATAAAAGGATGATTTTAGAGAGAAAACGCGTTATTGATATATATTTTTTGTTTACATAAGTTGATCGTTGATCGGCGTATCAATAATATGCCGCTCGATCACGTGTTAGTCACGTTGGAATGACGGATTCGTCACGCGATCTGCAATAATCCGTTATTTTATCTATAATCTGAGAGACCGTTAAACTGACAATTGCATCAGCATTGTAAGATTACTTGGCGAGATGATCGATTTTGTGTATCGTCAGC